ACTGTCTGTCTGTCTGTCTGTCTGTCTGTCTGTCTGTCTGTCTGTCTGTCTGTCTGTCTGTCTGTCTGTCTGTCTGTCTGTCTGTCTGTCTGTCTCGTCTCGCTTTTCCAAAGCAGGAAACAGCTCATGTCGTATTGACGATGCGCTTCTCTTCACTCAAACTAAACTCCCAAAGCAAGACGAATGCTCGTTGCCTTCTCTATTGTGGTCAGTATGTCCAATAGCCACCCCCTCCCCCATCTCTCCCTTCAGTCCCCTCTCCCCCCGCCACATCCCCCGTTTTTCCCTTTAGTCCCCCCCCTTCAACTCCCCAACTACTGCCCCTCAGTACTCAGTGTTTACACCGCCTTGAAGGGACCCCGTGTGAAGACATCATCAATTCTTGGCTGACCTCAACGCTCAGGTAAAATTTATGTCTCTTGGTCTGGTCGTAAACTGGACGTTTATTTCCCTTGTCTTGGGTCACCGGACTCGCCCTACTGACCAGCCACTGGGTGTGGCGGATGGACGGTTGCAGGATGCAAGGCGAATAACGTTTTTGTCTTTTTTACCCGGGGGGGGGGGGGAGCTGGATGTGAAGGGCGGTTTTTCATTTTGTTTATGTGTAGTAGTACGGGAATAGAGTCATTATTCTGTTTTAATCGTATCGTTTTATTGATTACTGTCGTCTCTGGTGTAGTGGTTAGGCACTTCAACGCTGCACGCAGGAAACTCGAGTTCAATTCCCTTGAGGGGAGGGATTTTTATCGAGTTTTTCGGTCTTTTTGCTAGTGCGTTGTTTTTCCTCTTACCCGGCGTTGGCTCTGACAGTCATAGTCGACACCTCCTATATTTTTTCTTGATTTTTGTTAATGCGGGCGTAAAAGCTCAAAAGTTGTTTTTTTTAAATCTACTCTCCTCGCTTGGTATTTTGACAGCCATTCTTGCCCCCCATGAGCCGTCTTTGATTTATTTGTGTTGTCTGTCTCTTCCTCACATAGGCCCCCCCTCCCCCTCTCCGCCCAATCCTTCTGTGTAATTTTTCCTCCCTCAATCTTAAAGGGGCACTGCGCTCAAGTTGTATCACACACACACACACACACACACACAA